CTACATATATTTATTTGATGTGATATTCATTCTAACTGACGGCGTCCTGAATCGACCAGAACAAATGGTAGTCAGAAGGGGCAAGTCTAAGCGGGTGAGGCAAAAAACGCCGCATTTTCTAAAAGTTTTAACCGGTTTTGCAACAGGCCGACTTGTCCTTATTGCCTCAGTCTAGTCTCAAACACCTCCACTAACCGTCAATTAAGTTCTAAAAAGTTCCAAAACAACTAGAAACAGAAAACTTTTGTCTGCGATGGAAAAGTCGCAAAATGTGCCCTTTATTCTTGTACTCGGCACTTTAACTTTTCTCTAAATTAAAATAATGAAATACTATGCATACAGGGGTGTTGTGGGAATCCAAGACAGATTGCGTAGTTATCAGAATTGCAACCAATTCTGATTTTCAATGGTGTCACAGATCTGATTGGATTCGTCTTTTTGAACATATGCAAAACCAATATTCAAATCAGCTGTTTACTATTGTGACAAAACTTGCAAATGAATAAATTTGGAGGTGTTTGATAAATTTGAAATACCGAATAAAGTCTACTAAAGTTTACAATGAGTTACGCTATTTTAGCTTTTATTTTATTGGAAGAAAAAAACAACAAAAAAAATTAAAGGGAAGATTTTATAAGATCAAAGAAATTTTGCTTGCATTTACTTGCTTACTTTACAGATTGATATCACATTATCGACTGAATATAGACGCATTTGGGTGTTAAATTACGTTTCGTAAATCCTCTTAAAATGTTTGTCACTCATTTTGTGCTTTATTCTTATGTTTTTCCCTTTAGAAATAACGATAAATTAAATCGTAACAATAATACAATTTATTTTCTAACTTACATTTCAAGTCTGTCAGCGAATTGCTTTGCGCTTCTGATAACAAATCGATAAAATTTCTGTTTCGAACACAAATAATATCTGAAATTCATGACTCTACGACATTTCCATATCGGTTTCCATTCTGCTTTCGATAACTATCAGAATCTTGCAACGCCCCTGATAATAATATCCTCATCGTTTATTTCAATAAAAGCGACAAAATCCCTTCCATTTACTTATTTCCATATTATACATTCAACAATGTCGGGACGGCGCGAACGCCATTCCCGGCTACCAAAAATTACACGCACGAGTTTTTCGCATTAGGAATAATCGCGGGGTCAACTCAACCGAAGGTGCAATGGTCAAGCCTCACTCCGGAGGAACCGCCTTCATGATCACGGTAACCTCTACGCCAGGTAAGTATGCTTTATTTCGCAAATGTCCAATGTTTTCAATTCACAATTCGTTAACATTTCTGAGAATTCGAAGACCGTTTATACGAGTGAATGAAAACTTATATACATATATTCAAGATTGGTGGTTGCGTTTCAACAAAACAAATCGCTGCTCACAACGCAATGTGTACTTCTACCAGAGAACGTTAATTTATATTCGCTGCTTCTACCATAAGCCTTATATTAAATAATATAGTTAAAAAAACTTTAATTTATTTAAACTTTAATTACTTTAAATTGAGGAAAAGGCTTAGGGCGATTATTATTATACTAGTATTTTTTATATACTATTTTTAAGTTAATTTTTAAAATTATTTTCAACTTTTTCGTTCGATATTCTTTAAAAGCTTTTTTTTAGTGTTTTAAACTATATTTATTATATTTTATTATTTTTAATAATAGTAGCTGTAGCTATCTACACTATGTACATTTTCGGACGAAGTATCACAGTATGTAATGTATGACCAATATATGGTATGACTCATCGTTATGAACTCGATTGTATTTCATATTTTCTCGGCTCTTTTTACCAGAATTCTATTGCTCTTATAATTGTGTCTTGCTAAAAATATAAATGAAATTTTCCAATTAATCATTTTAGACACAGTTGAATGAACTTGTGCTTGATGATTTGTGAATCGATATTATATTATTGGCGACCAAATAGGTATTTCAATCGGATTATCAGCGGTAACAAATTTCCACTCATCTTCGGTGGCGTTTTCAACATCAACTTCGCTGATAAAAAGTCAGAGCGGTTGATAAATTTTCTTTCGGAAAGATTGAATTTGAAAATGAATATTGATCCACAAGAATCCACTACAAAATATGGAAACACCATTCACGCGGTATTTTCCAGATATTTAGAGGATGTCAAGTCTCAAACTTATGCATCTTATTTCAGTTACCATAAAACTATAGTTTCAATAATAAAAATTCCTGAATAGTCTAAGTCTCTTGTAAGATAATAAAAATATTTTAAGCAATACTAACTTCTAATTTATTCAATTCTTTTTTATTTTTTATTAATTTCCATATTTTGATCTGCCATTAAAAAATTTTATATTAAATATTATAAATTTTGTTGTCCGTTCAGTTGATTTGTTCCCTTTGAGATGCCAAAATATGCCTAAAAGTATGCAAACATTTTGCGCATACTTTGTAATCGTGTTGAGTTTAGTTTTTTAGTTACAAACAGACATACAAGTGATAATTATCGATGGGTTATTTAACAAAAAAAACTACTTTTTTCCTTGATTCGGATTGAATTTATTCTTAATTTTTTATTAAAATATATTTTTTGTTCTATAATAAAATAACTTTAAATAAGTTAAGACAAATTCATATCATAAAATTGAAAAAATTACAGGGTAGTAGTCCTCGATGGTTTTTTTAGTTAAAGTCCCAGTTTTACAAAATATATTCACCCGTATGAATCAAGATAATTTTGAAGGCAGAAGAGTTCTGAAAAGAAAAAAAAACGCTGTAAATGACATAATATTTAATGACTGAAAAAAATTTTTATATTATATGTTTTTATAATATTGATGCAGGCGTCACAACTATTTGTTTTACGTCGATGACAGCGTACTTATTTCTGACTCCGTCGAGGGAATGACATCCCTTATCCGGGCCGCGGAGGAAGGAGCTGCCGCGGTAGGCCCGACATTCAAACCGGCGAAGTCTGCTTCACTACACTTTGTCGGGGAGAATGGCGCACTGCCAACGCAATTTCCAATCCAGGGTAACCTGATGCCAGCCCTCAGAAATGAGGAGGCCTACGAACACCTGGGCATCTCAATAGGTTATCAGGTCCGCCAAGTTCCCGTTAACACCCTTATTGGGCTGATTGCAGACGCCAATGCAATCGATGGCTCTCTCCGAGGCTTGACTTCATCATGCAGGGAGATACCTTTGAGAAGGAATACCTTCGAGTTGCAGATGGGCGTATTAAACAGCTGGCAAAGAAATGGCTATTTTTGCCAAAACGAGCAAGCCCAGAACTAGTGTAACTACCGCCGTCACAGGGAGGCGGAGGGCTGATCCCCCTCTCAGACGCGTACGACATATATTATATACCATCACTCATGCCTATAGGCTGCTACACTGCTGTGACCCAGGATTGTCAAATTCAGCAAAAAGTCTCATGCATGAAGCAGTGTCGTCGGGAATGAGAAGGAGGGAAGTGTCTCCAGAAGACATGGCTCGATACCTCTCTGGGGATCAGGAGATTCCGAGATCGGTGGGTCCGTCTGCACCGAAGGATAGGCGTCAAGTGGTGCTGGCTGCCGGGAGAGTAGGCACACGGGATCATATTTAGGGGAAGGAAGATGCAGTTTCACCAGCCGGGCGGCATAAGATCGCCAACATGCTGAGCAGCAAAGAGGTTGCCAAATATGTGAGAGACCTCTTGGAAAAGAGGGATCAGAGGAAAGTGTTGGAAGTGACCAAAAAGCACCCGGTCTCCAATCACTTTCTCCGGAGCGGTCGTAATACCCGCTTCTGCGACTGGCGCTTCATCCATCGCGCCCGTCTCAATGTTCTGCCCCTCAACAGCACACTTCGGCGGATAAGAGATGTCGCAGATGCGGATATGAGACCGAGACGCTCCCGCATGTGATCAACCACTGTCATGCTCACAGCGTCGCAATTAGGCGGAGACATGATGCCATCCAGAGCGGGCTGGTGAGAGCTGCTGCCCGTAATCCCGGAACTAAATCCGTTATCCAAGTAATCCCAGAAGCTAAAGGCGCGGCGGCTGCCCTAAGACCGGACATTGTCATTAGGGATGAAGACAGCCGCCGAGTAACGATTATCGACGTATGTATGTATTCCATTCGAGAACCGTTCAAGAGCTCTCGAAACTGCCAGGAGGGAAAAAATAGCAAAATATCAGCCCCTTGTGGACGCTCTCACTGGAGTTAAGGAACGTATTACTTATTACATTATAACAAGTGAGTCTTATGAATATCAATAAATCGCACACATTTCGGTGCAGCTCAAAAGTAAATTACTCATTTTTTTCTACTCATATCGTGTAGACGATATAAACTCTGGCAAGGGATAACAACGTACGATTTGGCGGCTTCGTGGTGGGTTCACTTAAAGGATGGGATGACCAGAATGAAGCGGTACTTAGCAATCTCCGAATCCGCCTCTGCTGTTCCGGGATGATGCCGCGTTTCATGATCAGCGATGTTATTCGTTGGTCAAAGGTTATTATGCGGAGCATATGTCGGGGATACGGATGTACCTGCCTGAGGGTGAGTAATTCGCAAAACAAGCATTGCTTTAGCAAAGCCTATGTTTTGACTCCATTTTAGAAGTAGTAAGTGAAAAAAAATATATCTTATAGGTAAGCACACTTTATTTCTCAAATGCTCAATGTTTTCAATTCACAATTCGTTAACATTTTTGAGAATTCGAAAGCCGTTTATATGAGTGAATGAAACTTCTATCTATAGCTTTTGTTCTTGTTTTACAAGTATATTCAAGATTGGTGGTTGCGTTTCAACAAACCAAATCGCTGCTCACAACGCAATGTGTACTTCTACCAGAGAACGTTGATTTATATTCGCTGCTTCTACTATAAACCTTATATTAAATTATTGATGGGTTATTAAACAAAAACTACTTTTTTCCATGATTCAGATTGAATTTATTTTTAATTCTTTATTAAAATATATTTTTTGTTATATAATAGACAGAAAAGTTTTAATATTATATGTTTTTATAATATTGATGATTAATTAGAAATTGAACTATTTTTAGAGGTATTATATAATAAAAAAATTATAATTGAACTCTTTTTATATATTAAGGGTTGTTTCCCAAAACTCCATATTTCGGTTTAGTTAACCAGAACTTTACTGGCAGATAGTTGCTAAGCAGACATTGAGAAAACGGGCCTTACAATTACTAAAATTTACTATAATTTTATATAGAATACTGTCACTACCAACTAAATGCAACCATGAACTTGTGGGAACGGATAACGCTCAAAAGAGAACAAAGTGCAAAACATTAGTCAGCTGCTAAAAAAATCAATAAACAGACCATGGCAACGAAAAAGTAAAAAGTCGAAACTTTGCAATTTTCACAAGTGCAAAATTATTCTCAAATTCTTTTTTACGGTTAATCTAAAAAATCTTTAAAAGACTAAAATGGCGCAAGAGCCACCATTAACAACAACTGATTTGGAGGGTGATGAAATAGAAAATGTACGGGTTGTTGTGCGAGTACGCCCAATGGAGAAATCCGAATTAAATTCTGGTGCAACTAATGTAATACAAGTGGATAAAATCAATCGGGCCATCACAGCGGTGAAGCCAAATGCCGCCAATGAGCCGCCCAAGACGTATTACTTCGATAATGTTTTCAGTACTGACTCAAATCAACTTGATTTGTATGTGGACACAGCACGTCCCATAGTTGAGAAGGTACTGGAGGGTTATAATGGCACCATTTTTGCTTATGGACAAACGGGTACGGGTAAAACATACACCATGTCTGGTAATCCCGATTCACCGCAAACTAAAGGTATCATACCAAATGCTTTTGCACACATCTTCGGTCACATAGCTAAAGCTAGAGAGAATCAGAAATTTCTAGTACGTGTTAGCTATATGGAAATATACAATGAAGAAGTGCGCGATTTGTTGGGAAAGGATGTTAGCAAGAGTCTTGAGGTGAAAGAGCGACCAGATATCGGTGTATTTGTGAAGGACCTAAGCGGTTATGTAGTGCACAATGCCGATGATTTGGAGAATATAATGCGTTTGGGCAATAAAAATCGTGTAGTGGGTGCAACAAAAATGAATCAGGAGTCGTCGCGTTCGCATGCCATATTCTCAATTACGGTTGAAAGTAGTGAGCTGAGTCAGGGCGATATGACGAATGTTAAAATGGGTAAGCTGCAGCTGGTTGATTTAGCTGGTTCAGAGCGACAAAGCAGAACACAGGCGAGTGGACAGCGCTTAAAAGAAGCAACAAAAATTAATTTATCATTATCGGTGTTGGGTAATGTTATAAGTGCACTGGTTGACGGGAAAAGTACTCATATACCATACCGCAACTCAAAACTAACACGTTTGCTGCAAGACTCGTTAGGTGGTAACTCAAAGACAGTAATGTGTGCCACCATAAGTCCATCAGATATTAATTATATGGAAACCATATCCACATTAAGGTATGCCAGTCGTGCCAAGAATATACAGAATCGTATGCGCGTTAATGAGGAACCTAAGGATGCATTACTACGACACTTCCAAGAAGAAATTGCACGTTTGCGTAAGCAGCTGGAGGAAAACAGTCATGAGGATCAAATTTCAGAAGAGGAGGATGAAGATGTCGATGACGATGATGTCGATATTGAAATAGAAATTGAGGAGACACCTGCCATCAATGGCAAGAAATCGAAGAAACGCGAAAAAAGCGATGCTGAAAAAGAGGAAAAAGAACGCCGCGCACGAGAACATCAACAAGAAATTGAACATGCTAAATCTGAGCAGGAACAATTGCGCAGTAAGTTAATCTCACTGGAAGGCAAGATTCTGATCGGTGGTGAGAATTTATTAGAAAAGGCGCAAACGCAGGAGAAACTACTCGAGCAATCACTTGCTGAATTGGAAGAGCGTGAACAGGCGGAGAAGGCATTAGAGCAGACATTACAACAAAAAGAAACTGAACGCATAGATATTGAAGAACGATATTCCTCACTACAGGAAGCAAGTACCGGCAGTACTAAGAAAATTCATCGTGTCATGCAAATGTTGATGAGTGTCAAATCCGAATTGGCTGACCAACAACAAGAACACCAACGTGAAAAGGAAGGTATATACGAGAACATAAGAAGTTTGTCACGTGAGCTGGCACTGTGTGAATTAGTACTCAATTCCTATATACCTAAGGAATATCAGTCAATGGTCAATCAATATACGCACTGGAATGAAGACATTGGCGAATGGCAGCTCAAATGTGTTGCTTACACCGGTAACAATATGCGTAAACACATCGCCGAACCGCAAGAGGCCACAAATAAGCAGGAGTTTATAGATCTCTCCCATGTTTATCTTAGTTACAATACCGATGGTGTAACAAATCCTTTGCGTGCAAAGTCGGCGCGTCCACGTACTTCGGGTGTACCACGACCAACCACCGCACGGCGTTACTGAATGGGCAGCAGTATTTATGTATCTATGTATTTTCCACACACATTTGTATATTTTTTGATGTTATATTTAAGTTATGTTGTCTTCTGTATATTTTTGTTTAAATTTTGTTGTTTTTGTATTTTTAACGACTCGAATTCATGTCTAAACTAAGCACACAAAAATGCATTTATTTTGCACTCCTCTAATTGCGTTCCACTATATGCATTATTGAAACTTTGGATTTGTTGTGTAATATCACTAATTTACAATTAAAGTGAATTAAAAATTAAACACCGAAAATTTCTCTCCATTATTCACTTATTGTGGGGATTTAAAAAAAATTATTGCGAGACTGGGTGTGTGAGGTGTGTGATTTGATCGTTGCAAGATGTTACTGATAAAATATAATATTTTTAAATCTACTTCATATACATAAATCCATAATTAATTATTTTACTTACCACCGATTTTAGTATACAGCTTAAGCCAACTGTTCTCAATGCTTTTACTCCCATCTAATAAGTTTCGTCCTGCCATTGTGAATTGCACGAATGAAAGAAGCAGTGGCCATAACATTTGTTTTTGACAGTACGCAACGCTGAAGAAAGGTAAATTAATTAATAAACATCGTGTTTTCCTGTTAAATTAAATTAATTAAAATATATAAATTAGTATTATAAAACGTCTACGTTGATTAATTTTTATTTAATATCTTCATGGCATATGGTTTGAGTTCGTATTGAATTAATGGTTGTGCTTCGACGTTTCACGTGGGCTCACGATTTATTACAGCAATTCAAACGTCAGCGCCACTATTGGAAAAATATGGAATCTACACTATTAGAACCGCCAGCGAGCGTGCGTGGTATGCTTGACTTGAAGCGTGATGCCTTCAAAAAGCCTGTACAATTACCACGTTTACGAGTGCCAGAAACGGAATCAAATAAGGTATTACCACTGGTTAAAAAGTTGCTGCTGAAGATGGAGAAGTTGCGACCGGTACGCGTGTTAGAGAAAACTGGGCAAGAAGGAGTAGAAACACCACCAATGCGCGAAATACTGCTTCACCCATCAGCGGTGAAATCGTGGGATTGCTTACCAACTACAGAACTTTTAAAACTAAAAGTCGAACCTAACAATTTTTATTACAACGAATTGGAACTTAACTATGATAATTGGCGGGCGGATGAAATTTTTAAGAGCGTATTGCCCGCAGATGATGAGGGGCTCACATCTTACTCGCGTATTGGACATATAGTGCATTTAAATTTAAGAGATCACTTATTGCCTTACAAAAACCTAATCGGTCAAGTCTTATTAGATAAAGTGCCCGGTTGTCGTACGGTCGTAAATAAGGCAGCAACAATTGATAATACATATCGAAATTTTCAGTTGGAACTAATTTGTGGTGAATCGCAATATCAAGTGGAGACTAAAGAAAATGGCGTTTTATTTGAGTTTGACTTTTCGCGCGTCTATTGGAATCCACGCTTATCCACAGAGCATGAAAGAATCACTAAAATGCTTAATGCAAATGATGTGCTCTACGATGTTTTTGCTGGTGTTGGGCCATTTAGTGTGCCGGCTGCACGTAAAAAATGCTGGGTACTAGCAAATGATTTAAACCCAGAGAGTTATAAGTGGTTACAGCACAACGGTAAACGCAATAAATGTTTGACTCACATGAAAACTTTCAATAAAGACGGACGCATGTTTTTGCTGGAAGATGTGAAACCTGATTTATTGAAAAGGTGGAAAGAACAAACAGCTGAAAAAGCTGTAAATTACAGCATACACATAACAATGAATCTCCCAGCTATGGCGGTGGAATTTCTTGATGCTTTTCGTGGTTTCTTAAACGACGATGAAGCGAATGAATTTTCGAAGCAACAGTTGAATTTTCCAACTGTGCACGTTTACTGCTTCGCAAAAGGCGATGATACGAAAACATTGGCGCGCGCTTTGGTAGAAGATAATTTGGGCTTACCACTAACAGACAACCTAGAAGGTATATATTTCGTGCGCAATGTGGCGCCAAATAAGGACATGTACAGAGTGTCCTTTCGACTCACAAATGAAATTTTGACAACGCCGATTGTCAAAACGACTGTTGAACAAATTCAGCGCAAACGTGTTGCCTCCGAATTAGAAGAAGATTCAAAAATTGTCAACAAAGTAAAATGCAATTAAAATTTACTTAATTTTAAGCATAAACTGAATAAATATTTGTATAAATTTAATCTAAGTGGCGAGACTTTCATTTCTACTGTAAGGCAGTTTGTTATTTTTTGATAAAAACTATATATTTTTTTAATAATATTACAGAGAATTGAAAATGGGACGCAAATCAAAGACAGCTGCTGGTAAAAAAGGTGCTGCTAAGGCTGCCATCAACAAGTCTAAGAAGGACAAAAATATATTTAAAGTCAACGATGCTAAAAATAAGAAGAAACCAAAGGAGGTGCAAGGAAAATTGAAAAAGGTAAACGAATGAGCACTTACAAATAAAAATGTACTACTAATGAATTCCCGCACATGCAGATCAAGGAGGTGGTCAAGAATAAGCAGGAGAAAATCGATGCAAACTTGAAGGAGTTGCATAAGGATATGGTCGTGAAGAAACCAAAGGTCGCCGCCAATAATGTCTCGATTAAGAAAAATAAAAAGGCACCGGCCAATACAAATAACGTTTCCCTAAAACTAGACAATTTGAAATTTTAAAAAACGTTAATCCATATCAAAGCGAGAAATGCCTTGCTGTTTGATGTGTCGCTAAAGCAACGAAATTTAGGCAATTAGTCAAATAGTTGTTGATGTATCACTCACTAAGGCATTTTAGTTCCATGTTTTATTATGAATCCTTCTATATAACATATATGTACTTATATATTATAAGTATTGAGCGAGTTTTGTTTGATAAGATCTAGCATATTTTATAGAAACTCGGAATTAACACGCGTGTATACATACTTATAAAGTAATGTTGAAACATTGCAATACAGCGATTAATACATGATTAAACTAAATATATATGACGTATTCCCACAAAAAATAAGTATTTTTTTTTAAATTAGTGTTGATCATTAATTAAGCGCATTAGCAAATGGACTAAATTAAGGATTGTCAGACGCACCTACTGCACTCTAATAAGCGCTAAGAAGTGGATTTTAAAGAATTTCGCCGTCATGAGACATTCAAGACAGGTTGGGTCCTCTCTCTGCTACTGTTTAACTTCTATATCTCGTAACTCCCGCAACCACCAGAGGGAATTTTCAACACCTCATGCGCAGATGATGGCATGTGTTCAACAATAAACCAATATCCTGCAAGGAGCCTAACACTCTGCCCCAGTAATAAACAGTGACGATATTCACAAACTAGACGAAAGAGTACAGATTGAATCTTAATATTGTAGTCGGTTTTAGATGTTACACTAGACAGCCTATGCTGCTTCACTCTGCATACATCCAAATTGCCAAAGCAAAATGTATTAACAAGTTTTTACATAGACTTTCATTCGATGAAGCGATTCTTCTCTAAATCTCAGAAACGTCATTTTTATAAATGATGGATTTGATACAGCTTTAAATGGACTAAAAATGTCGGTGATTAAACTCTCTTCAGGAGGCTTGATACGTATTTCCTCCACCAGAATTACACTGCAGCCCCGAAAGGGTGTTGACTGCTGCCTCAAACGAATCGATTTTTATAAGTCTGAGGTGATGTAGTAAATGGAGGTATTAGTTCGTATTTATAGACATATTGTACATAAGCATTAAAAGATTAAGTAGTTAAAAGAAAACAAGAAAAAATACCCTTCACATCTAGAAAAGATTCCTTACAAGAACTTGATTATATATATATGCTATAGTGGTCCGATCTGGACAATTTCTTCAGAGATTGCACAATTGCCTTAGGCAATAACACATACCAAATTTCGTGAAGATATCTAGTCAAATGAAATAGTTTTCCATACAAGCACTTGATTCCGATCGTTCGGTTGTAACGGCAGCTATATGCTATAGTGGTCCGATATCGGCGGTTCCGACAAATAAGCAGTTTCTTAGAGAGAAAAGAACGTGTGCAGAGTTTCAGAACGATATCTCGAAAAGTGAGGGATAAGTTCGCTTTTATATACAAACTGACAGACGGACATTAAATCGACTCAGCTCGTCATGCTGATCATTTATATTATATTTTCATATATTTTATAGGGTCTCCGAGATTTCCTTCTGGGTATTATAAACTGCGTGGCAAACTTAATAGACCCGGTTCAGGGTATAAATATGAATAAATAGTAAGACGTACGACTGCAAAGAAAAAGAGGACAAAGAATTTTGCGCATAAACAATTTGAAGACTATACCAATAGAGTATAAACTTTCAACACGTGCTTCCATTGGTGCAGTCGGCTGACAAGTTCACGCGTCTACCTTTGGTAAACAACGGTATTTTCGTTAACTGTCAACAAATGCTTCTTCTTCAATTGGGAAGAAACCTAATAATGTCTGAAGAAAATGAAACTTCGGGTCACAGGATGGCACCACCCACAAATAGTACAAAATTATGATAATGAATACGTCATCCATCTAAACAAATGCAGATTGGTACGTACTCTCGGAATGCGAGACCATTTTCTCAATTTTTTTTTTCAGTAGCGCCAAATGGATTGATAATGACTAATTAGATGAAATAATAATAAAACTTTACGTGCAACCATGGGTGTAGTTACAACAGTGTGATCAGATATACACACATCGGTTACGTGTGGTGATGCAAATGGGCTAACTTAAGCTTATCTGTTTACCGCCTATGCCGTGCAAATGTTTACCACACTGTCAAGTTGCTATCAGACTCTCTAGGCAAAATGTTAACAACATAGTGAAATTTGAAATATTTTGCGGCAACAAGCAACAGTTTCTAGAATCTATGTATGAACACGAGTTTTTCGTTTTATCGCTAAGTTTGCTCTGCTGCCAGTTTTGCGACTAAATATTATACGCATATAAAAGCTGGAGTCCGATTAGCGAATTCATACAGTTAACGAAACGATTTGCAAACGAAAACTACCATCAAATCAAACGATCCAGCAGCGAAAGTCCAGGATGCAACGCTTCATCATCACATTGGCTCTATTTTGCAGCCTGAGTTCCGTTTGGGCTCTACGACCAGCCCAAGCACCAGCTGCTCCACCACCACCGGCCACGCTCGCACAGGACATCGAGGAGTTGTATCGTCTTATACCATCGAAACCGATTAATAAATTGGTCATCCGTTATTTGCTCAACGATGCACAATTCCAGGCCGCCATTCGTATCATTAACTCTCACGATGCCTACATGGTGCGTATGCGTCTCTATGCTCAACCGGAAATCATACAATTCCAGTCATGGGTACGCGCACAATTGTTGTTGTCTGGCGGCGGTTCGTTGGAGTTTGAGGAGTCAGAGGAAATATTGAGTCTTTTCAGACCCACACCTTATTGGTCCGTCTACGGTTGGCAAGGCTTCTTCAATGAATTCCTCGCATACTTCCCACATGAGATGTTACGCGCTCAAATCGATGCTAAGGTGCTGGCGGGTGGCAGTCTCGCACAGTTTTGGGCTAAATTGAAGGCTTTGGCACCGGTCTACGAACGCGTCTTGGCCTTCCCTGAATCGAAGCGCATCGTTGCACAACTCGAACAGCATGGCGTGAATTTCGATCAAGTCGACCAATTCATTCGCTCCTTTTTTGATTGGTATCCAGTTGTCGTGAATGGCACAGGTCCAGCTGTCAATGCTGCTGGTGCACCGGCCATACCAGCGGCTCCCAATGCTGTTGTGGTTTAATAATTGTCGATGCAATTCAGCAGCTGACGATAATCGAATAATCGCCAAAGCAAAACTATATATCGACAGCGATTTATTTCATTAATGAATGATATTAACGGTTTATTTACGTTGAAAACACAACGAATATTCTTGTGCGAGTATTTTATTTGTTTTACTGCAATTAAAAAATAAGTGCTCATAAATAATGTGTTTCTATGACAGTTTGGATGAGATTGAGATGAGTGGGTAATCGCTGACAAATTAAAAATAGTTATTAATTTACCTCGTAATGACCTAGAGTAGCTTATGTGATTCGAAATCTACGGTCGTTTGTCGAAATACCACGAGTGCTTGCATATTTTTAACTTTCCGAGAAATAAATGCCTTTCCTTATATTGGATAATTTTACTAGAGGAAAATACAATAATTTAGACTTTTAATAAATTCCTCGGCAACAGTTTGCCAAAGGCCTTGAGTTTAAGTCTTGAGAATAAGGATTGCAGAGTGATGTATTAAGTCTCCAGCATGTCAAATGCTATTCTAGCTAACTTCTAGGTCATCAAGGTTTTACTATCGCTATGTGTAATTTGTATCTTAACGCTCACTTTATACCGGTATCTACACTCGCAACAGAGATAATAGTTTTGTTCTCCTAACGGTGCTTTGTGACACATATGTAAGACTAGCCGAGACTATACAGAGTATAGCGTCTGCTTCTTGATTTTATATATTATATATCAAAATTATCAGAATGATAATAATAATTCTTTATATTTGTCCATTGGTCCGTCCTTCTGTCCGTCCAAGTGATATTTCGATCAAAATTGGTGCACGTATTCCCTGGGATCCTTCTCCGAGGTTTGAATTGCAGATGGGCGAATTTTAAATAATCCCGCAGTTACCGAAAAGGAAGATATTAGTGCCTATGGCTTACTTTGTTCGGAAAATGTCGGTCAATGTCTAAGATTTCTTAATGAAATCAGTTAGACATCTTTTTCTAATAATAATGTGAGGTGGTGCTAAAATTTAATTAAGTCAATTAAGTACGTCAGCTGGCCTCTATATATTGGGTATTATTGATTTGCGACTCTCCGACTATTGTATATATCTCTTATAGTTATAAACATTATATGAAATTGTGTACTTTTTGTTGAGTTTACATTCCATATATCTCATATAACACTAGTTTACAGTCATTTTACGATTGTCATGTTTGAGGCTGTTCCTTGTTAGAGTCGGGTTGCTAAAACCGAAAATGATAGGAAATTACCTAACACTTAGGATTTTTTGTGTTGTAGTCAAGTGGATGGAAATTTTCAAATATAGAATCCCATAGCTAGCTGACTTTTCATCTTAAGAACAGAATTGTCTTATCTAAAATTTGAGGAATAAAGATTGTTTCGTCATAATTGCATCCGAGAAGGTAGTATTATGGTACAGGATCTCATATAGTCTCAGGAGCTATATAATTAAGATGAGGTAAAAATCGCCAGACCAACTTCTAGCATCGCAAAGAAATAGCTGACAAATCCATAGCAGTTGACATATGAAGATATAACTTTACACGTATGTAAAAAAAAGGTTGTACCAATCTAGCAAAATTAATGTATTTGGTTTGCGCGTCTGTTGTACTTGTATATGGACCAGTCCGGCTCAAATCTATATTTGGAAAGGCTATTAATTTGACTAATATTCTTCGAAACCTTACTGCAGAACTTTCTTCTAATCGCTGCTAGAATAGTTAAAACTCAGATCAATTAGACAAATTATAACGTATCGTCATAGAATGACACACTCCGAGATATTTCTATATAATGGGAAAAGATGACTGTTTAGAAGAGTCCAAGTGCATGGATAGCAATTTAGTGAGCTAAATTCCTGATTTCTGCAATAACATTGGCTTGGTATGAAATATTCTAGCGTTACTTGTTATATAATCTGCATAACTATCTTCAAAGTAGAATTTCAAAATTCGTTCCAGACTCGCCGAAAAACTTCTCCAAAACTGCTGAACCGATTATCTTGAAAATTTCACGCGGCCTTCTTTGATATATTTTTCAATTAATGATAGAAGAAATAATATTTTTGATAAACATTACAATTCTTTAAGCCTTTCTAAAGTGTAAATTTTTTCACAAAAAACGCCTTTACTTTTTGAGAAGCCGTCATTTTGTCAAAAATCAAAATTTTGACTAGTCCTTTGATCGCTAATTGTATTTATCTATTTTAATAATAATGTTTTCATTGGATTTTGAATTTAGATAATTTTAAGCAGACAAATACTTCTCAGTGCCAGACACCTTTTTTGGGAGGTCCTCCTAGAGATCGGCTACCTGACAAAGGAATCCAAAATTTTGTGGTAATTAGCGCTATTTTCATTAATTTATTAAACAAAGTAGCTCTTAAACTCTTTCTGATTTGCACCTGGATATACTCATAACCCCTTAAGAGGTTCCATCCACTAATAAATATAAATACAATATTTAAGGTAATACAGAAAAATATCTCAACTGCAAGTATGTATAATTTTAACATGAAATATAAAATGCCGGAAGCATTGAAGTATTACATACTCGTATATTAAAGATATCTTCTTCTTATTTCTCTCTTATAAATTTTATTGAGTAATTTTCTTTTGTGATATTACAATGCATTTAACAAAGAAAAGTAACATTAATGATCTTTTATGAATATTATATATAATTCAATGCAAGCTCTAGGTAATGTACATACGATTTTTTCTATCAATTATAAATATTAGTTGATTTATTTGGTAATGAACTTTTCTGCAGTCCATAACGTTTTTCTGTTCATTTCTTCTGTACATACACATACATATTTAATATTATAGTATAAACTTAAATATTAAAGTATATAGTTTTTTTTTGTTTATAGTATTCATTGAGTTTTCGTAAATGTAGTATGCATGTATGTGTGTGTATGTTGCGAACTTTCCGTTGTGAAGTTGTTTTAATTGCAAGAAATTTCGATGACTTTGCCCGGTCCTTGGCGATAATTTTTTTAGTTTAAGGGTGACAGACTGGATTGTTTGGAAAAAAATTTAAATGTAGTAAAAATTATTTTGGATTTTTAAAAACTGTAAACAATTACAGTGGTGTAGACTATACATTTTCTTTACTTTAAGTTTATTTAAAATATAGATTTATTTTTTAATATCGAAATAACTCTTGCAATAATAAAATAAAAATTAATTAACCATAAATTGCAGATAAATATTTTATTAAATTTATTAAGATAATTAAATTATTAAAAATATGCAAACTAATTATTTAATTATAATTTAATTTTATTTTGTTTAATTATTATCTTTTTTAAGTTGAATAGCTCAAAAGATAAACAATAATAAATAAATTTATTAATTTTTTGATTGAAAAAAAGTGATAAGGCAATAAATTTTGATTAAAACAATAAATTTTGATTAAGAAAATAATAGTAAAATAAATTAAAATATTTTTGTTTTTTATGAAAAAAATTGTAAAAATATATAAAAAAAAAATAATTAAATTAAAGTAAGACTTTTTTGATGAAAAAAAAGAAAATATAGTTTTATTAAATTAAGAAAATTAATAAAAATAAAAAAATTATTTAAAAAAACAAGATTTTTTTTAACGAAAAAAAAGAATATATAACTTAATTATTTTATAAATTTTTTGTGTTGTTTAAATTTATGTTTACTCTATATATTATATTTTATTTATACATAATTTAATTATTATATAATATTATGTTATGATTTCATGACTTTTTTAATTTTTAATACAATTTTTTCACTTCACTTCATATTTCAATTAAATTCCTTATTTCACATTTCCTTTCCTTTAAAGCTAAAAAAAAAAATCGCTAAGGACCGGGCAAAACACTTCGTCTGCTTTTCACTGCTCTTCGTGTAAAAGCGCTCTTGCTCTCCAACAATTGCCATGCATCCGTTATGTGTTCTGTTATGAAATTTCTCATATTCTCTGTAGTATGTCCAGTGTTGTTTTGTCTTTGTTTAGCCACACGATTTTCAATTTCTTTATACTTTCTCTTTATCAATTCTTTTTTCGTTTCATCCATTTTGGTATGCAATCATTAAGGAAATCTCCTAGTTGTCTGTATATCATCAAAGATAATATGGGCAAAACTAGCCAAGCATCCTTGAAGAGGTAAACATAGCAAGCCACCATAAAGAGAACCAAATCAGTGGAATAACTCAGCGCTGAACGAACTTTTTCATGCGTCTCTTCCTCCAGCTGTTCAACGCTCTTCGTCTCCAACTCCAACTTCTCACTAGCGACCATAGAGAGTTGTACTTCTGGTGATGGCGGCAATACACCAGTACCGGTTGCCGGTGCTGGTAGTGGACGTCTGCCGTAGGGTCCGGGGGACTTTGATTGACCGGTAGAGGTACGTGTACGTGAGAGCACGCGTCGCCTGACCGGCGCTTGCGCTTCGATGGGAATATCGAAATCTATATCTTGCTGCGATGCAGCGCTGGATGGTGGTCGGTTAAGTGAAGCGTCTCGGGAACGTGATGGTACGCGTTTCTTAATGATACGCTTCACTTTGACGATGCGTGTGCGTCCGCGGGAATCGGGACGCTCGTAGGTGGTTTCGCTGATTACTTCAGCGGTGGTGCTATCATCGTTTGCCAGCAGTTCCGACATTATTGTTGAGCTTGTGGGTGCTATAGTATTGGGGAGTATTTTGTTGTTAATAGTTGGTGGTTTGTTCTCCTTCACTGGTGGCATGGTGAACGCTAGTGAGCTATCCTCACTCGGTGTTGGTGTATCTGGCACCGCTTCTTTAGCGTGTTCGGTGTATGCCATGCCACTGCCGGTTTCACGTACGTGCACCAATTGTCCACGCTCGGATATTGAGAGACGCGGTTTATTACTAATCGGTGGTATAAGACCCCCATCTGGTGATTGTGAGCGACGCATGTGCATTTCGTCGTCATAATCTCTATTGTCACCTGTCTTCTTCAGTTCATTCTTGTCAAGATAGATTGGTGTGTGGTACTTGCGTGTGGTACTAACTTGACTTACAATATCGCTGTAGTGATCTACAACGGCGTAAGCTTCTTCACGCATGACACGTTCGGCTTCCTGTCGTTTGGCATTCTCCGCTTCTTTAGCCTTACGTTGGGCTTCCAATTCTGCAGCGACAACAGTGGGGCTTAACGGTATTGGTTTATCTGTAAGACCGCTGATACTGGAATTTTCTTCGCTACCTTTCTCGGTGTTCGTACGCGTATCACGCTTGAAGAATGACATGAAACTTTCGGCAAAACCTGACTTCTCCTGGCTGGCAGTGTTATTGGCGGTTTGATTTTTATTGTTGTCGCTAATGCTTTCTATGTTCTCCAAACTATTCTTTCTTACATCATTATTACTATTATTATTGCTATTGTTATGTGGTTCCGCCTCGACTAGTGGCTGCACATTCTCATTGGATGGTCGTTTCAAAATCGGTTTCGGCACAAAATCCGGATCAGTGAGCGGTGCTGGGCGTGTAAGCACCACTGCGGCATTATCCGGCAAAGCTGCGCGATATGGCGTAAACACGCCAGCCGACATATTACGAGGATGATAAGTTTCCATATGGTCTCTAGGTGGACTAGCTCTCGGTGGACTAGGTGTTTTAGTGCGTGCTCTCAATTCCATTTTGAATTTTTCAATTGAATCATCTTCTGAGCTTGCTGTACTCTCAGTGTAGTCCGATTCAATTTCGAAACTTGCTTGGTTTGTCGGCTCCGCTCTAGCTTGATACCCGCTAGCGGTGTCGCCTTCTAACAAATCATCATAGTCTTCAGCATTGTAATCTTCTTCTTCTTCTCTCTCAGCTTCGTCACGACTGTCGTTCTTGTTTAGCAACATACCCGTCGTGCGTGAAAGCTGCTTCGTGCCAGTTAAATTTTCACGTGAACCCCAACGTGCTACGGCCGTTTTAAGATCTTGCACAAAGCTCTCGGACTGACGACGTAACTCACTGCGACGTTCGAAAGATGAACGCTCCGCTTCAGTCATAGAGCCGAGACGCTTACGCACGAAAGGTGGTTGTAAACCTGCGCCAGCAATTGGTTTCTCAATATCCTTTTCCCAGACTTTCTCATTATCTCGCTGATTTTCTTTATCTTGTTTACTTTTTAACTTGCGCGCTTTTTCAGCTTCCTCCAATTCGACAGCTTCGTAGAAGCGTGCCATGGCTCGTTCGTACAAGAGCTCCGTTGAGCTAACCGAACGCCGAAGCGGGAAGGTGTGCAGATTTGTAAATTCGAGTGATGCGAGATCGGGTGAAGAGATCGAAATCGGTGGTGGTTGTAGTGCATCTTCTAAATCCAATTCAAAGGAGTCTTGCTCTGTTACTCATAAAAAAAAAATAATTTCAGACAGTTAGATAATAAAATACTTAAGTACTCACTATTTTTATCCTTAACTTTACTGTGCTTATCGAAGACGACCAACATAAATTCATTGCTGGTATGTACATCATCATGTTTCTCCGCTAGAGAGAGCGGACTCTTGGGCGGAGATGGTGAAATGGGCTCTTTTATTGTTGGAGGTGCGCTTATCTGTATGGTTGGGTTTGTGAGGGTTGACACATTTTGCTTTTTGTGATTATTGCTGTTATTATTTTGACTTTTATGCTGAAGTGCCGCATTGTTGCCGTTCGCTTTTTCAACCCATTCAATCCACTCTGCATGCTTGTCTCTCTGTGTCTGCTCAAGTCTATCTCTTTTTTCCTGCCGTTTCGTTTGTTGTTGGCTTTCAAGCTCTTCGTGTTGTGTTTTTCGCGAATTAAAACGTTCACTTTTCTCTGCTTGTATGAAATCCTCGTGTTGATCTTTTTGAACTTCCCTGTACTTTTGGTCTATGCGTTTTGTAGTTTCACTCACTTCAGCCCGTTCCTTTCTTTCGGTAATTTGCTTACGCTCTCTCTTTTTTGATTCGGGCGACTTTTCTGCCTGCATGCCCATCGTGCCTAATGCGCCTGTCGCTATGGCTACAGCTAAAGATGGTGCATTTTTTGCAGGACTGAGGCTGTGACCTGAAAGCCGTCGTACTTGCTGATTCACACCCAGTTGTACGGGTTCGGCACTACGTTGTAGAGCCGGTGTCTTGTTAATCACTTCTGGTGGAGTGGGACTCTTGCGTAATGGACTAAGACTACGTTTGCGATGTAATGAGGAACGAGATATCTCCGGTGTGGACGGTTTTTCGGGTGTGAGTTCTGGTTCTGGTGTTGCTAATGCTGGGTTGATCTTTTGAGTCGATGGTGATGGCGACTTATCCTTAGATGGTAATAATTGTTGCAAGAATTGTGGCATCGACTTCTTTTCAGCCAGCGGAGAACGGTGTGGTGACTTTGCAGTTGGCGATGTTGGTGACGTTGTGAGTGACGGTTTTGTGCTCATCGACAAAGCTTTAGTGCTTGGTGAGCTCGGCGCAGATTTTTGTTGTGTATTAGGGTTCGACGGACTACGACGTGTGTCCAGCTTTAGCGCTTTATCGGCAGCGCCATAGGACATTTCCCGATGTAGATCTTCTGTATCGATTAATTGCGGTTTCGGCTTACGTAAAGCACCAGGTGATATTTCCGTCGACGCATCTGCATGTGGACGCGGCGGAGATAATGCTTTTCGACGTGGCGGTGCTGGCTTGTTTTTCTCTTCTGTTAATTTGGTGTCAGACTTTGGTTTCGTAATACCACGTTTCGGATCAGGTATGAAAAGCACTTCGGACTCCTCACTAGGATCGCTAACGCCATACGGATTTTCTGCTTTCACCCGAAATTTATATTCGGAACCCTCGATTAAGTCATGTAATGTGGTGCTGAGGGACCTGGTGGTGGCCGCTTTGAGCCAAACGTTCCAACCAACACGAAAATATTCGACAATATAATAGCCGATTTTACATCCACCATCGTCGAGTGGCGATGTCCACGACAACGTCGCGGACTTGCCAAACGACATGTTGAGTTGCACTTTGCCCGGCGGATTCGGACGTGCGGTAACTGTTACCAGAAATGAGGTAACATCTTCGCCCAGCCGATTCCACGCGCGCACACTGTACTCGCCACGATCATCGCGCTGTATACTGTCGATCTTAAGCAATGAATTACGGTCGGTGTTTGAAATTTCAAAGCGTCCACTATTAGGTACTACCTCGCCTTCATGCAGCCATGTAACAGCCGGTGATGGTTGCCCAGCCACACCAACCTTCAAACGCAATACCTCACCCGACTCAACGATTAAACCATCTTCATAGGTGCGTGGCAAACGTATTTTTGGTGGTGCTTGCACCATTAGCTGGGACTTAGTGGCCACGTGGCCAGCTCGATTTGTCGCCGTGCACTTGATTTCACCTTCATCGGTGAGCGCCACCTGGTGAATAATCAAGACACTGACGTCGTTGTCGTTTAAAATTTTCGTTCGTCGACTACTGAATATTTCGTAACCGTCTTTGAACCAATTGATTTCAGGTGCTGGTTGTCCAACTACACGCACACGAAATTCAATACGTTCATCTTCGACGGCCTGGCGATCCTGCAGTTCCTCAATAAAACTCGGTACACAGATGGCGGTGCGCTGAAGTGTGACAGTAAGTGCATCAGACAAATCACTGGGATCCGAGCGACCCACAATATTCTCGGCAAATACACGAAATTGGTAACGCCAACCGGGCTCTAAACCGCTAATTGATACCTCGCATTGGGGCACTGCTACAGGTGTGGCGCGCACCCAATGCGGCGAGCCCATACGACGATGTTCGACAACATAGCCTGTAATGGGAGAACCGCCATCCAGCTTCGGACGTTCCCAACGTAAGTTGACGACATCCGGTTGCTGTTCGGAAAGTGGTATTAGCACAGGACGTCCAGGTGGAGAGGGTCGTTCTAAAACAAAGTGTTATATTAGTATAAAAATAATAAAATGTTTTATGGTGTCAGAGAAGAGTGTTAGACTAGCACAGATTTAAGTACGTCGACCTCAGTGTTTTTGATCTAGGTGTCTAGTGAAATCTTCAATTGTTGGAACTGAGGCTGATAAGTGAAGGGAAGAAAAAAGCAAGTAAACCGTTCTGAATATGTAAAATTTGTGAAGCGATTACTTTTGACGTGATGTTATGAAAGAAATATAGAGTTCTAAAAGCTTTAACTGTATACTTATTTACAGTCAGACAATAGTGAGGTTTATATTCCAATTACTTTCTGTTAGCTTTGAAGAAATTTCAGTGCTTATCTTGAAAAATTGCTATAATCAAGTTATTAACTTTTAAAGGAGTAGAAACTGAATACCATTTCGTTCCATAGTGGATCCATCTGAAAGCTGTGATGAAAATCAATAGAAAAATCAGATTGCATGGAGACCGCTGGGGAACAGCGATTAACTAACCCAAATCCTTAACCACATTCTGAAATTGGATTGGTGAAGTCGAAGAAAAAATAAAAATCTACAATCAACAGTTCTTATATAGGAGGGATTTCTTCCAGATAACATTAACCTAGTAGTGTGTGTCTGATCAAATTCTTCATATAAATGGAAGACACAGTGCCCGTTAAAAACTTTTCCTTCCCAGGGAAATGTTAGTACTGCTTTCTCTAAACTAAAGTTGACAAGATACTCGTAAAAAGATGATTTGAAGATGAGGAACTGGAAGCATTACTCGATGATGATTGTTGCCATACACAACAGGAGCTCGCAGAATCTGTAGAAGTCATTCAAGCAGTCATTTTAAAACGTTTTAAAGCAGTCGGATAAATTCAAAACCAAGGGAATTGCGTATCTAAACGTTATAAGAAGATTTTGCAAAATCAGAAATGTGGCTTGAGCGCTACTAGAAAAGTCGTTTTAGAAACGGATTATGAGTGGTGGTGAAAAATGGATCCATTACGACAACCTTAAACAAAAAAAAAAAATCGTATGTGAAACTTCACCAACCAGCCATATCAACGGCAAAGCCGAATTAAAATACATGACGTCAAGGTAACGCATTGTTTTTTGGGGGATTAGACGATAGAATTAAGAGCTCCTAAAACTGGGTGAAACCATTGATACAGCAGCTTATCAAATTAAAGCAACGCTGGCAATTTGCGACTAGACACGAGCAATAATTCTCCATGATGAGAACACACGATCTTATATTGCAAGACCGGTTAAAATCTATTTTGAAATTAGCGGCTGAGAAGTTTTGCCTCATCCACCTTATAGTCCACATCTTGTCACTTCTGACTACCATTTGTTCCCGTCGATTTCAGAACATCCTCACTGAAATACGGTTCATACTAGAACAGGGTATCTTGATTCCTTCTTGGAATCCACGAATTGGCAGAAAGATGGGATAATTTCATAGCTTCCGATGGTAAATACCTTATGGTAATACAATAAAAAATTCCAAAGTACTCATCATCTAATATGATCGAAATCTCAATATGTTGTTGGTATAAATATACACCGAAACAATTTGCAGCACTTACACGAGCTCATTGCATTTGCTATTACTTTTGAAAAATGTGCGTGCAACTTGTTGCATATTTGACACGGTCCCGTTACTTCTGAAACTCGTGTCCACTCGTGTCAAGAATCGGTTGCTTACTTTGTATTATCAAATGTATGTATCTTCAAACAATACAATTCCTTTATTTTCGAAAATTTTTCGGTGGCACTTGTGTATGCACGCTTTATACACAATATAGGCTGCGAGAGAGCGCCACAAAGCAATAAAGCGCATTCATAAACACCCAAAAAACCATGTCAACACATCTAAACACACATTCGTTACAGGCCGACGAATAAAGGAATCGTCAGAAAGAAAGCTGGCTGACAGGCAGCAAGCAACCAACCAGCCAACCACTTGAGAATGAAATTTCTAAAAATAACCTCAATTTTAGCGCTCCCACCGTTTGACCCAAGACAAACCGACTGCTGTGCACAAATTTTTTTATGGTATGTTATGTGGACTCTGTGCTAGGCTATTTTCTACAACGAAATAATTGTTTTTTTTTTTTTGAAATTATTTAAATATTTGCTAATTATTGTTAATTAAACGTACACTCACCTGCTGATTTCCAAGTAACAACTTTTTTAGGTCTACCGCTTTGATTTTGATTTTGTAATTTTCCCTGTTGATTGCCCATTTTTTGACTGTTCCGATTTTTTTGACAATTTCGTAAATTTCCACGCCAGCAACACGCCTCGTAATACTAAATGCCGTTATATCTTGCGTGGATATACTGATTTATTTTCACAACGATTGACGATGACGATGACGATGAATTCACGGAAATTGCCAACGCATCAGCATCTATTTTGCAACACCAACAACTATGCCACCGACACCGACACCAACACCAAAACGTTAGAGAACGGTTAGTAGAGCCACATCGATTGGAATTTTATTTTCTGCTTTTCAGAAACACTAATTTTCACTCACTTTAACTTTTGTAATGATTTCGCAACACTTGCACTTACACTAGAGTTTTTAACGGTATTTTTTTGGTTAACTAAAAAAAATAATTTTCAAAGCATATTATAAACTGGACTAACGGCGCAGTCCATTTTCAACGTTAAATAATCCCGTCGAACGGACAGCGCGTACATAGTTCGCAGTTGTAGTATCTGCTGTCTGGGATAGGCTACCGAGTAGAAGTGTTTTAAAAATTTCAAATACGAAGAACAATTTTTGAAAGTAATTTTTCAAATTTTCTCCTTTACTCAACACGAACGTTACACGAATATCGCCACGATCGCCTACAACTGTTCACGAGTAGCGGTAAATGCTTCACACGAGCATAGCAAGAGAACGCTTCTCCCACTTACACTCAGTTGTGGCTCTCATTTGCTTGGCATACACTCATTTCAAATACTAATTCGACTCGTCTACTCGGTCAGAAAGCTATTTTCAGCTAGGTGGGTGCTGATTAGGGTGATTTGTGCATAAGGCGGCGACGGTGGGTGGTGAACCGTTATATATAGTTAGACATAAATACGTTTATAGGAAAAAATTTAAGAAAATGCAATAAAAATGCTTGTAAAGAGGAAGACGCGAATAAATGTTGAGCAAAACAGATAATTTGTAATAAAGATCGGTAAAGTTTTTAAGGAGAAATGAGAAGAATAAGATGATAATGTGTGAAATGCCGCTATTTAAAAAACGAGAGCGCATATTTTTGTACCACGTGAGAGCGTTAAGCATAAAGTGTGAATTAAAAAATTCTGAATGAATTTGAAGAGGGAAAAAATTCAAAATTATATATATATATATACTTATATTCGAGACATATTTTAGTTAATATATAAATTTGTAGATACATTTACTTATATACAAGTACGTATGTGTTATTTATATATTATAAATAATATTTATATAGATATTATATATTTTTGTTTATACAACAAGCAAACATATTAAGATGAAATGTTCTGTCAATCGAAAATATTTGAAAATAAACAGTATTCAACCACTTCTAAGCAGAAATTCTTACGTAAAAAGCTGAAAGATTTAAAAATACTTTGTATTGTCCAGCACTAGTCTAATATATTCTAATATTCAGTCCGAAAGTCACCAACTCTTTCGATCGTCATAGCTTAGAGTTCTCGAGCCGTATAGCCTTAATTGAAATGGAGACCATACAGGAATCTTTAACGTTTTATAAGAGCAGCGAGAATCATCTTGGTGTTGATCGCCTTAAATATGATATAATGTCTTGATAAAATGTAAGTCTGGTTTTCCGATTTTTGTTTGAGAAGACAAGAAATTCAAAGTCAATTTTTGTCAAAAAATATTTTCTATGATTTGATTTCGCCTCAAAAAATTTTCATCTCAAAGCATTACATATCTCTTTAAAAACATAAGATACACTAAAGTCTAGAGATAGCCCATCATACAAACTTCAAATCAAAATAAACTCAATAATTAGTGTTTGCACGCTGAGTACAAATACAGAAAAAAAAGAAGAAGAAATCACGTTATAATACTCTTCACCAATAAAAAAGTTTTCTATATAAGAAATTGATTTTGAATGGCTATTGGCTGTAACCCGATTTGAACAATTTATTCGGAAATTGTAGTGTTGCCTTGGACAAAATTTGTGCTAAACTTAATATACCCTGTTCAGCGAGAGAATAATACAGAGACAGAGAATAGCAAAGAAGCCTTGTTGGGTCTAAGAAAAATTATTGAAACCTTCAAAAATGGTAAGAAGTTAACTCGCCTCGCAGTAACATTTTAGAAACTCGTTTTAGAAATCATTCGCTATTACTTAAGAGTAATAAAGCTTAAAGAACAGATGATACTACAGTGAAATCGCAGACAAATTAATAAGACAGAGTTCAGGTCGTACAGGGCTACAACTTTTTGAGCAATATGATGGTTTTTACAATGAATGGCTAAAGGGTAGTGTATTTTATGGGAATGTTGACAGTTCGAAAAGACAAAGGCTTTTCTAATTGAAGAATACATAAGTATCCTGTGTAACAAGCTTATCACACCTGAGTGGATAAACCGATGGAAATATTCGAAATTGATAATGTATAAATGTGCTCTGTCCTCTCGAGACATGTACCATAAACAGAAAAGAGTTTTTGCAACCGGCATGGATTTATTTCGAACTAAGTATAAACACACCAATGCGACAGCAATTCACCCTAAACTATTTACTATTTTAAGCATTTCAACAGCAGGTGAAGGGGTTCCCTGTGCTTTAACACTAGCAGAAGTATATCTGTACAATAATTGAGTTCCAAAGAAAAAAATGTGGAAAACGGTTGGCCTCAAGGGCCATCCCTGCAACTTCCCGCTAATTTCATACGCTAACGTTCAAATTTCGCTTTTTTCACTGCTTTTGAGCTCTTCGAAATTTTTCGTTTTCAATATCTCGCAATTAAATCAACCGATTTTGACCCGGTTTGCGGCAAACTATGTGTTTTTTCAAGGTTTAGAACTGATTAGTTTTTGGTGTCGATCGGTCAAGTCGTTTGGAAGAAAACTGGTACGATTGGGTCCAAACTCACACGAAATTCAAGTGCAATGAAACCCTTTGGAATGCCGTTTAGTTTATTCAAATCGGTTGAGCCGTTTAAAAGTTATAAGAGGGTCACATACATCCACACACACACACATACATACGGACATCATCGTAGAAATGTTCGGGGAAGCTTCCTCGACCCTCAAAACGTCGAGATCTGTTGAGAACTCGATTTTTGCAAAATGGGGTGAAACCAATATCTTCCCGATTTTTAGAAAATTTTCAATTTTCTTAGCGGGAAGTTAAAAAAATGTAAATTCATTCTAACCTCAAATAACCTTATTATTAACGTATATATATGTATAAAAAGCGTCGGGCAGGTGTAAAATATTGATTACCGAAATAAATTCTTTCAATTAACCGCCGGAGTCTATTCAATAACCAAGCTAATTTACATAATCATTCTAACGGGTATCTCCAAATTAAGCTCACGCAAGAGCTTTGTAAGCTGTCTAGTAATTTTTATTGCATTCTCAATAAAAGCGTCAGCGCGGCATCAAACGATTTTTTTTTTACAGAAGAACACATAAATTTGTAAATAAACTAAAAATACAAATCAAAATGAAAATCCAATGGCGAATGAAAAAGAAAAGCGTTTCGGAAGATTAAGCGTTTTGCATAAAAAAAATAAATAAAATGAAGAAAGAGTGACTGTGTAGCTGCTATTGAAGAAATCGAAACATAAAGCACTCACACAAACATGCCAAACAAAAGGCACAAAATAAAACCGCTGATTTGGGTCACACCAAGGGCATCCACTTGCCCGACCGTCCGTTCGCTAAGCGTAGATGAATCGCCGAGCTATTGAATGGTGGCTACGGCTGTTGGCAGCAACAAGTGCACGCAAGAATTTTGTCTGATCTCAGGCTTGCTTGCCGAGCTGCTGCGGCTGCGCATCTCCGGCTTGGTTCGGCGGCTAATCGCGATTGTCTTGTGGCATGGTTGGAATCGTCGCGCAGTGAAATCAATTCTGGTTTTGTTTGTTTGGCTTTTTTACTTTTTTCTTTTTTTTGGTTAACATAAGAGTCGTGAAAAGTAGGCTTTTCGGTTTTGTTTATTGAAAAGTTGGTCCGGTATATATATTTTGTTTTGTTTGTTCTCAATGTTTTTTTTTTATTTAGCCAATCGTGGCACTTGTTGTTTGATTTATAGAAAGCGGGTGTGGTTAGTTCACACTTACAGTAGTAAGGTTTCACTGCAAGGGCTGCAATTATGCTATCATGGTTTATATAAGTATTAAATGCCTATGGGTTCAATTATTATTGGAAAGGTGATATAATAAAAGTGGATCAAAAGAGAGGACCAATACTTTGAGAAAGTTAAAATATTTTTTCTTTGACTTCAACAATTCACACTTCCTGAACGATTGATTTCAACAAGAAGTGGCATTGACTGGTCACATAAGTTTCCCCTGGCTTCTTCTAATATTTAAAAAAAAGTCTCTTCCAACAATCCTTGGACATATGACAATTTGAACAAAATCATGTTTCCTCTGGGTCTCAAGTGAAATTTTCATGTTCAAACTGAGCCGTAACTTTTCGGCGCAACTCTTTGCAACTGAATGAAATATTTGATAAGGGGTCCTGCTAGGAAAAGGCAATACCCTCCACGGAGTTATTAACCAATGATTCTTTAACTATGGTACGACAACATTTTTTCACTCATGAAGATTCAATTGATTCGAGAATTGGAATAAGTTTAAAAATCATTATTCAACAATGAGCCATCTCATTTGATTACGATTTACGATATCAATATTATCGTTGTTAAAACAATGAATGCTGACGCTCTCCAAAACAGTAAATATCGTTCAATTATTTTCGACATTTTTATTTTTCTAGTTCGATTGAACTAAATGAAGAGTTGGATATTACGAAAGACCAAAAACGCCGATGTTTCAAAGCAAAGAGATATTTTTTAGTTGAAATATTTTAAAAGGTCATGTGAGGAGTTAGTGCTTAATCTGAAAATTATATATGAGGCTAACTAGATTTACTTTAAGTGGGCTTAGAAATATATAAGCTACGAATTAGAAAAACTAATTACACGAATGAAAAGATAGAAAAATATGCTGAAAAGTATAAACTGCTCGCTTTGTAAACTTTATCAATATTTCTAGTGCAACCAATTGAACTTGTTGGCTCTACAAGTCTTAGAGAAATTGATGAATTTTATGCGAGTTCTAGATATACCTTCAGGAGTGCTACGAGTACTTCCTTATAAGAAAAAAATATTTAGTTTCATAAATAAAGATTGTGTCTCGGAATAAATTTACTGTTCATGACGCTCGGTTATGGGGACCACCGCCCCCGCTTGAAACTGTTAAAAATTGGATAATTGAGTTAAGGAGAGACCGAAGTTTTAATACCCTTAACAAGTACATTTCTTATAACGTAACTGGCTAACGATTTGCATTCAACGTAAAACGTTTTGCTATGGGTTGCTAGCCTCGTTGTTTGATATAAACCAACTTCAAGTCGAATTACGGTTACTTAATAAGGAAAAACGATTTTTATCTTGATTTCGATTGATCTCTTTGTATGACAGCTATATCCTTAGTGCTCCGATATCGCTGGTTTCGACAAATAAGCGGCTTCTTGGGGAGAAAAGGATGTGTGTAGTCCTTCAGTTTTAGAGATATCGTCATAAAATCTAAAAAACTTAAGGAATAGTTCGCGTATATATAGACGAACATAGGTAAATCGACTCAACTTGGCACGCTGATATTTATATATAAGCTTTATAGTGTCTTAGGGTTATAGTCAAACTTATTACACTCTGGATGTAGTATAATAAAAAATATTTCCAGTTTGGCTATTTTTGTAGTTTTCTTACGTTGTTTTGCTTTTGAAGTCTACAATATATACATACATTACTCACACGATGGTGATAATTGATATTTGATCTTAAAACTATAAAAAAGTATTAATAAACCGGTCTTAAAGGAAAGGTAAATAATGTGCGAACGAATGTGCAAATAAATTATGGATAACACGCATTGTACGTAATTATTGAGCAAATAATGTCACTACAATTACTGCAGCAGTATATCAAAATCGACTTTGCGCTCTACGACAGTAGAGATTTGAATAATAAAATTGGCCATGGCATGCTCCAAGCGAGCGAGAGCTATAGTACGTTGGTGGCGCATGCGCATACGAGCTTATGTAGGCGTATGAAGGCATAAATATGTATATAGTATGTATGTACTGAATGTAGGTATGCCTTAGCGCAGGCACTACTAGACTTGGCTATGGCATACGAAAAGTGCGCCAAATTACTGTAAGTGTAGCTGAAAGCAATAACAACACAAACCAGCAAACCTTTGCAAACATATCTACATACATTTGTATATATGTATTGTATGTATATACAGCGTATTGAAACCCGTATTGCATATACGACGGGGACACAAGCTGAAAGAAGCTTGAAAATCTGAAAAAAAGCTGCTCAACACAAATAGCTCAAGTGTAATTTCGGTAGAAATGTAAAAAATCAAAGCATATGCTTGTCTGTGCCTATGTGTGTATAGCGAAGTGATTATGGCAACGTTGTCGTCACCATAACGCCTATGTCAGCGCATAGCAAAGCCATATGTGGACACACCATAAATGTAAATATATATTGCAAATAAAGCACGTGCATTGTTTGCTAGCGCTGGAATGTTGCCTGCAATGCCAACAACAAAAGCGCACACTTTTATGCACCACATGTATGTGCGTATGTGTGAAAGTGAGAGCAACAAGTAACAGGCACGGTAATAGCAACACTTTTTGAATGCAAAGCGACAGCAAGCAACTTTTAAACGGTAAAGTCAGCTTCGAGCAACAAATGTTCGATGAAGTGCAGCGGTGTTTTGGTTGCATGCAACTTCGAACCATTGAAGCATACACATATATATAAATATATACATGCATGTGTGGTATGCTTGAGCTGTATGGCTTTCAAACTTGGCTTGGCGCATGGCCAACTGGCGGCGATCGCTCAGTCGTGTTTGAGACTCGCTGCGGCCTTAACGTGCTTCTTCTCGTAGTATGCCTCGCGCGTGTGTGTGTGTGCCTTGAAAGAATATCTAAAGTGTTTGGTGTTATTGAAAAAAAAAATTATAAAAACAAAAATAATTTTGCAAAGATAAAAAATCAGCTGAAGTGTGCGCACAAAACTTGTTACGAGTGTCAAACAAGAATAAAAAAAGTACAAAAATCGATCTAAATAAAAACAACAAAATGTAAAAATCAATGAGCAAAAGGTAAAACGCAAACAAATAAAAAATAAATTGAAAAATAATTTTTAATCTCACAACTGGTTAACGAATCATTGCCAAATGCCAGCAACTACAATAAAAGCGGCAAGCGTTTGAATGTGTGTACGTGTGTGTGTGCGTAGGTAAATTTGGTGCCTAATCTTATTATTTTTTGCTGAAGTTGTTTTCAGTATTTTTATCAATTTAAGCTGCGTTATGACTTCTCGCCGCTGTGACTTAATTAACGCTCTAAAATTTAAATATGCAAAATTATGCGTAATTTCGGGCAATTAAGTAATCTGAATTACATAATTTGCTAATTAAAAAATGTTTACAAAAGAGAGCAAATTAAATAATAAGTAGAGAATTATGGTGAACGAAAATAAAAAAAAGCATTGTTAAGTGATTGTGTGTGTTTTTTTAATGAGACCAAAAAAATGCGTTAATATTTTGTATTGTACAAAGCTACATTACTGTAGAAAACAAGCACAAGTTAAAAAAAAAAAATTTTTTGGAAAAATATGAAATTTTTAATTTTAACGGTAATGTTTTGGCTTGTTATGCTCCGGAGCTTTTTAAGTGCTAACAAGTGCAAAGTGAACTTGAAATATTTCAAGGATATGAAAAAAAAAAATTTAGTAGTTATGTTGATATATTGCAAAATTATGTTGCTTATTTTTCGGAAATCCATAATGCTCTTGTAACAAATTCTTGTACAATTTCTTAAAATTTTAAGCGGACTGATAAAAAAATGTTGTTTTCAGGCTTTCTACCAAACAATTTTTATATCGTCTTCTAAATGATATAATTTTTAGTCAACACCAGCAAATTTAAAGAAATTAAACAATTTTCCCTTGCTTATAATTAGAATAATATTAAGTTTTAGTTTCTTCCTCGAATTTCCTTCACTGACGTTTTATTGGCTTATGAGGCCTGAGGGGACAGCTATTCGAGTTTTGGAAACAGCAAAATGTTACATAGAATAAAATAATGTGCAAAATGTCTGAGATATGACTTTTCTTGGAATTTATGGAATGTTTACAAAAAAATTGAGACAGCTTGTCAACTAAAATATATTGAGTGAATCCATATAAGCTGTTGGGAACTACTCCTAAATTTCTGATACAAACATGATTATATTTAACGTAATTTCCTTTAATTTTTCTATGCTATCGTCGTAGCGGTTAATTTTTTTTTATTCCTACCTTCACAAATACAATAGATTTCTGGCAAGAATTTAATTCTGATTGTTCAGTTTGTATGGCAGTTATATGCTATAATTGTCCGATATCAGCGGATACGACAAAAGAGCACATCCTTGAGGAAATACGGACATGTACAAAATTTCAAATCGATATCTCAAAAACTGAGGGACTATTTCGCGTATTTATAGACGGACGGACAGACAGACAGACAGACGAACATGTTTAAATAGGCTCAGCTCGTCACGCTGATCAATAATATTTATATTGTACATATACACTTTATAGTGTTTCGACATTTCCTTTTGGGTGTTACAAACATCATGACAAACTTAATATACCCTCCTCAGTGTATAATTATATCACTCCCTAAAGAATTATCGCAATTGTTCCATAACGAAAACGACAGCTCTACTAATATACTTCTAATAAAGTAATCCGAGTAAAACTTGATCAGATTATTTGAATTCTTTTTATATTTTTTATTCAGTAGCCAATTATGGTCTTTTAATAATTTTTGGCAATTTTTACCTATCTTCTTAATTTGACAATCATTGATAAATAGAAAATAATTTAAATAATTAAAAAGTTTTTAATTTTTAATTCTGAAGTGAACTAACAGCTGGTTTCGCGTCAATATTTCCATTAAAAGTGAGTTCAAAAACATATGTATATACTATAAATGTATGTATATTGTACACCTATAAAATTGTAGGTGAAACCAGCTGCAGGTGAAAAAAAAAATAAAACAATTGTTCTCTGTTTCTATAACTTAATAATTTAAATAAAATTAAATTTATATATTTTTCTTAAAACATAAGTTTAAGTTAGTGATATCCAAGACAACAGGCAAACAGAGTTTAAAAAAAAATTTTTTTAAATGGCTAAAAACGCTTCTTGAAGGTCAGACCTTATAGAGTATAATTTTTGCATTTGTAGACTAAATTACCCGAAAATGCTAGTTTCTAAAGCTTGTGCATATGCTGATTTAAACGCGAAGATTATAGAGATCAATATGGAAAGATGAATGGTTTTAACTATAGATTTTGCTAGTGTTATTGAAAAGAGCTGCTAGGCTTAAAAAAAGGGTAATAACATTAAAAATTCATTATATGTAAGTGGTTCTGGAAATTGTAGTATTCTTTTCTTCATCTTAAGTTTGTAGTTGAAGTCTGTAGCTAAGTTTAACGATGATACAAAAATTATCTAGACTATCCTATCTACATATATATATGACAGAAAACGTCAAAACGACGAGATACAGCAACGTATTTTGGTTTAATAGAATTTGTGCATAAACGCGATTCGACAAGATCAGATGTTAAAAATCCATGTTCTGATTTGCTCTTCTTCTTCTTAAAAATTACAGCTTTAAAATCTGTACTCGGCTCGTCTTCAAAGGGCATTTTAGAGCCGTACTAGGTGGCGGAATTAGTAACATTTATTAAGCATCGTAACATTTTTTATTATTGACATATTTGTAATATGGTTTATGATGCTCCATTCTAATTAAACCATACTTCGTCCAACATTTTACTTTTCATCAAAAATTCTTTGTCATGCTTCCTTAATGCTCTCCATTGATCAAATCGGATTTTCTTCTAATATAGTCTCATTCCAATTGAACAGCGATGTTAATGCTACCAAAATTCACACCAAACTGCAACACTTTGATGATATGTAGACTTTTCGACAATCATATGGGTATCTTGTGATCTACAGTTATGTCAGCTGGTGTTTGCCAAAATAGTTATCTAAATTTGAATTTCCTCGGTCAGCAGATATATAATATGTTATATATATGTAAGCTTTCGAGAAACGATGTGTAAATGTTCAGATATTCAGAATAAGGGTAGTAAATACCTAAGTTTAGGTCGAAAATAATTCCAATATATTGCTTTAAGTTAAAGGTAGACATTTCAAGTTTTCTAAGTATTAATTATATATTTTCGTGGCTGACGACATGGCAACGGTAATAAAAAAGATATTTTGTAGATTCTTCTAGATAACTACACATCAGCAAAATCAAAATTTAGGCTAAAATCACCAAAAAGTTTTATCAGAAATACACGAAAAGTAAATTTTAAGGTTGAATATATTGTAGTTCAAATAAGTATTTTCGTGTTGTTATGTTAAATACACCGAAACAAATAGTGAAACGTGATTTTGTGTTAATCACGAAATTAAGCGTAAGTTGGGAGTTATTGTATAGTCCTAACAACTGATTTCTATGTGTTGGTGAACTTTACTTAAAAAACACGTACGGAGCAAAAAACGAACGATGTACGAAAATACTGCTGAACTCTCCATCGGTGCGTAGCTGATTAGATGCTAGATATGTATATAGCGTGTTTTTTTGGCTTGAGGCATGTTTTTTACCTGAAAATAGCAGTAAATCTGTGATCTGCAAATTGTTTTCAGAAAACATTCCTTACACCTTTACACACATACATATGTACATATATGCGAAGCAATTTTTTATAGTCAGTGGAAATTAGGTTAGGCGTGTGCTAGAAATAGGAGTTACTGAACCACAACAACAAAACTCTAACAACAACAACAACAATGAACAAGCACAAACCGCATATTTTCAATATTTAAGTGCCGCACCAAACACGTCAACCGAGTAAGTACACATATACATACATACAACGAAGCTGGCTGATATGCAAACAAGCCAAATCGCAATAAAACCCATCAAACCTCTAAGCACCACCATCGAAGTTTGCCATAAAATCCACTTTTAATGAAAGTCAACCTACACATATGCAAACACACACATACACATAAACATCAACATATCGACATATTCATTCACGATTGTATTATGTTCCGTCAGTTCAACGGCTTCAACGTAGTGACATTTAACTAATTGAGCATGCGCGCAATTCCTCGATTCTTGTTGTTTCTTATTCATTTTTTTTTTCGACCGTTTAATTTATTTGCGTGTAGGTAGTTGAAGTATCAGCGCGGCGCAGCTTTTAAGACAATCTGAAAAAAGATCCTCCCGTCAACGGTTGTATTGTAGATCTCCAGTCTTGCAGACGATCATACATATTTGTTTGTAAGAAGGGCATGTGTGTTTGGTTGTTGTGTTGTTTGCGTGAGCGCGAAGAGTTGTTATGGAAAAATGAGAAATCCAATAAAAATGTGTGAGTGAAAAGCATTAAAAATTAAATGGGTGTGCGCCAAAAGAGAACCGCAGGCAGTTTAAATGGAAATCAACAAATAAATTTCAAATATCTTCATAAATTTTGCGATTAAACGAGATTGTTTTTTTTGTTCGGTAGTTTTTGGCGTTGAAAAAGGGTTAGTGTTGAAATTGTGAATTAAGCATACCATTTACACAAACAAGAGCACCATTAAAGTTATCTGGGATTACAGGTTATCACTTTAGAAGAAATCTTCAGCTTTTAAAAGATTTCAAAATGTACATATATTATATATATTTTTGAAAATTCCAAGTTCTAAAGCGATCTTCTAGCCAGTTGCTTTGACCACTTCGAGTGTGTGACTGCCAATATGAGAGTGTGTTCAATAAAAAACAATATTTATCGAGATTCGTTGAAAATGTTGCAGAAATGTTTCAGGTAATCTACTTTATTATCAACACAAGTATCTAAGTGGCACAAAGTTCTCAGTGAAGGTCGAAAAGTCATATCTGTCCATCTCTGTTAATGACGATAACATCGAAAAACTTAAAGAAACAGTGTTTAAATATTAACGTGTTGACATCAGAGAGATAGCAGAGGATCACAACATCTCTTATGTATCGACTCAACTCATTTTGGTTAATGTTTTGGGTATGAAACGTGTCAATGCTATACTTGTACGAAAAGATCTGAACCTTTTGCCAAACGTCGATTAGAGGTCGCAAAAGAGATTCTTTACAACGTGACAGAGTCGTGTCTTTCCTTCCATACAAAAGTAGTGGCACGTTT